CTAATTGCTTTAACGATATTCTAAAATTTAAATTTGATTTTATCATTAACTCATAAATACTTTTCCAAAATTTTTCTAAAAATCGACAAGAAATAAAAAAGTGGTTATAATCTTCTTCTTCGTTACATACATTACATAGACCGTCATTCTTCTGTTTCCATTTAAACAATAAGTGTTTTGTTGGTAATATGAATTGTAAAAGTTTCCATCTATATATTTTTAACTTATTCTCTTCTAAATAATGAAACATGAAAACATATAGTTGGTTAATACTAAGGTTCTCATTAATTTGTAAAATACGCATCCATTTGCTAACACCAATTGATGGTTCAATTTTATCTTTACAAATTGACTTATATAATATATTTGTTGAAAAGCTTGGAGCCTCAATGTAATTTCCTTTCCAGATCAGTTTCTGTCTAGGAATATTTACAATACTTTTAATAGAATTTTCAGACTTTAACATCTGAAGCCAGTCTTTTGGGATGGCTTTTTTTAAAATATTTATTTCTGCAATCCAATTATTCTTGCAGTCTAATTTTTGCAGAATAAAATGTTGAGATATATTACCAGTGTCATCTATAATATCATTGACAAATATCAAGTTACTCTTAATCCAATTTTCAAAAATAATGGTTTTATTTTCGAAATTAATCAGTTTGTTCCCCCAAATTACCTGTTTTCTTATTTCTGTGAAGTTGGTAGGTTTTTTTTGTCTGTCCACCACCTGATATTACCCAACATTTAAATACTTCTCTATAAAATTCAGGGATGTGTTTTATATATTCTAGAATTTTCTTCTTTTCAAAATTCATCTTAAAAATCAACCAATTAATACCCACCACACTGAGATATTTTAATGGAATCAACTTCCAGTTTGAAATATCATTACTAATGAGTTTACTTACCCAAGATGCTTTCAGAGACATAAAATAACTTTGTATGTCGATCATTTGTAACCCCCCTTCTTCGTATGCCTTTATCATGGTATTTCTTTTAACCTTATCTGGTTTACCATCCCAGATGTATTTATAACATTTACTTTCTACATCTTTTCTAAATTTGTCTGGAACTGTACAGGCATTTGCCAGAAATGTAAAAAGTGGTAAAACTAATGTTTTTATAATAAGAATTTTCCCGATTAAAGTTAAATTACGTTTTCCCCATAAATGAAATAATTTATCCATTTTCTCAATTTTATTCTCCCAGTTTAATTTTTCACATTCTTCTCTGTTATGACCAAAATATATTCCTAATGCTTTGACTGGTTTATTTGTCCAATTAATCCCGGCTACCTTATCTTTACTATTTTTCAGTTTTCCTATCCATATACCCTCTGTTTTATTTTTATTCAAAGTTAACCCAGAAAATGATCCAAAAATTTCTATTTCATTCATAGCAGCTTTGATTTCTTTCTTATTACTGAGAAATAAAGTCGTATCATCAGCTAATTGAGAAATTTTAATGCTATGATTTTTATTATCTAGTTTAACTACGAACCCTTTGATATCTCTGTTTTTTCGAAGTCTTAAAGCCATGATCTCCACGGATAAGACGAAAAGAAGAGCTGATAAGGGACACCCCTGCCTTATTCCTCTTGAGTTATGAAATATTTCTGAGATCCATCCATTATTAATAACACAAGTTTGTAACCCAGTATATAATGTTTTTACCCAGTTTATAAATGATTCATTAAATCCAAAATGTTTCAAAGTGATTAACATAAAATCCCATTCCAAGGAATCAAAAGCTTTAGTAAAATCTACGAAAACTATTGCCCCTTCAATCGAATATGCGTCCGCATAGTCAATAATATCTTGAATTTGTCTCAAATTAAAACCAATAAATCTGTTTTTAATATACCCTGTTTGATCTTCATTAATAATTTTTGGTAGTATCTTCTTTAAGCGTTGTGCTAGAACAAAAGACAATAGTTTTAAATCTACATTTAGTAGAGAAATTGGCCTATAATTATCCAACAATAAATGATCCCCCTTTTTAAACAATAATGTCAAAATACTAGTACGTTGTGAGTGCGATAAACTTCCTTTTTCATTACCAGTGTTTAAAACCTTGACTAGAAAATATCTTATTTTTTCCCAAAACATCTGATAAAATTCAACTGTAAGACCATCTAGCCCTGGTGCTTTATTTAATTACATTGCATTAATAGCTGAAGTACATTCTTCCATTGTTACTTCTCCGTCACAAACTGATTTGTCAACGTTATTTGAATTAATTTCTAATTCAGTTTCACAAATATAATTTTCGACTAAATCTTTCTTTTGACATTTTGAACTGTACAGTTTTTCATAATATTGCTTAATTTTTGTTAATAAATCGGCCTGATCTGTTGTTATATTTCCATTCTCGTCACTCAGTTTATTTATCGACTTTTTTACCTGTCTCTGTTTTTCTAAACCTAAAAAATATGCATTGTTTTTTTCCCCAAATTCAACCCATTTCTCCCTTGACCTAACCTGTGTACCTCTAGCTTTCTGTTCGTATATCTTACCTATTTTTAATTCTAAATCTTTTATTTCTTCATCTAAATATGCATCCTCCTGAGGTAATGCATCTCTTAACCTATTTCTCTCTTCCAGTTTTTTTTCTAGTTCCCGACTTAGTTCTCTGTTTGCTTTTGCTTTATTTTTACAATATGCTATGCTTACCTCCCTTATTTCTACTTTTAAAACGTCCCACAATAATTGACAATCCATATTATTATTTCCATTAGTATATTTATGAATAAGATTACTTATTAGCTCTTTGTATTTTTCCTCTTTTAAAATAGAGTTGTTAATCTTCCAATATCCCTTTCCTCTTTCTGACACACCAGTTCTAATACTTAAGAAAACGCTTTGATGATCAGTAGAATTAATTACAGCTGGTTTAATTTTACAATTCTCTACTAATGACTTGAAATCTGAGCCAATTAATATCATGTCTATTCTACTTGCCTGAGTTTTATCCCTCCTTCGCCATGTAAATTGTTGAACGCTTTGATTCAAACATCTCCAAATATCAATTAGTTTGTTTGATTTTAACATTAATTTCAAACTATTTACTGGTTTTGAAATCTGGCTATTTGGTCGTGTTGTTTTTCTATCTATAACATTTAAAGTGTCATTGAAATCTCCCCCAACTATCGGTATACCGATACCAAATTCCTTTATATTATCACTTATCTTTTTAAAAAACGTATTTCTAGATGCTTTATAATTTGGTGCATATATACATACCAAAGTGAATATTGTGTCGTCAATTTGTATATTGAGCAGAATTTCTCTCCCGTCAGTGTCTCGATTTTCATTAATAACAGTAACGTTTAAACTACTCCTAATTACAATAGCGACCCCCCTACTTGCTGTCGTGCCATGACTGTAGAAAATATTAAAATCTTTATGTTTCGACATTTCTTTACTAACATTTTCGTCAAAATGCGTTTCTTGCAAAAAAGCAATGTCACATTTATGAGCTTTTAACCATTCAATAACCCTCTCTCTTTTATTTCTATTGTTTATACCATTTACATTGAGACTACATACATTTATTAAATTTTTCTGAACCATATTGTGTTATCTAATTCAATTTTCAAACATGTTAAATAAAAATACTACAGTGTGAAATATATACATTACAATACTTCTACATCGAAGTATGATTTGTTTTCTTTTCAACATAAACAATAACAAAATACTACAATTAAAATATGCTTTGAATTCGGTATACGAATTACAACTATATTTAACGATATTATACATAGCCTTGTCTGTATGTTTACCTATCCGTGACCTTGTTACACTATTTAAATTCATGTTGAAGATAAGTTGGCCCTCTAGGCACGTGTTTTTGTTGTGTATTTTAAGTAGTATCACGACTAGAAATGTTATCATAAATAATAACTGTAGTACTGACATTATTAATTTGGATAGTAATTCATATATATATGTATTGAAATTCCGTAACCTTTGTGTGTATAAATAACCTAAAAGTGCTCGACTATCAGCGTTAAAGTGGATGTTTTTGTAGTGTATTATTGCATTTGGATTTAACACGAAACAAGCCGACAAGTTAGCGTTATAAGGTGTTTCAATATCTTTTGACACACAAGTGATGTTTTGTAATTTGGAGCTTTGTTGCTGAGAAATTTGTGTACACATTTGTGTTGTGGTAAAATGAATTGCAACTAAAAACCCGTATAAATATTGTAATATCAATAATTCATGTGGTAACTGTAATCCTGTACAAGGTAAGACATTTTTTATTACTATTTTATAGTTATTAGTTCCAGTATCTATAATGGTTTCTTTTTTTAATAGTCTTCTGATTGTTTTATTATTTTCTATTCTTTCGTATTTCTCTAAATAGAAAGTACAACCGTCACGCATGCAATCATCGATTTTTTTTAATTTACATGTATTCTTGTGTTCATAGAGTGTTACTATAAATACATTTGGTAAAAACCCGTCTAATACAAATATTTTAAATGAAATCACATATACCTTTAGTTTACCATTGCAGTAGTAAAAAATAATGGAATACGGGGAAATGTTTTCCCTATATGTCTGATTTAAAGGCATACATAGTTTGTTAAACTCGATTCTTTGTAGTCTACTTATAGCATACCATGTACACAGAATTAAAAATAACTTTGGGAAAAACCAGTATATCAGCTGTTTGATGTTAACAACAAAATTGAAAAAATTAACATACTCTATATCGACAAGACATAGTTTGTTCATTTTCATAACCAATCTTACGGTTATCGTTTTATATACAACACCATATAATATTTTGGACATCAATCTTGTACTTCTCATTAAATTTGTTTCATCAATCATTTTTACTCTACATTTGAGCTTAAACATTTTTCTTTTCAAAGTTTTTTTGGTTTTTTTTTTAGTTATGGTATATACTATAATAAGACACACAGATAATAAAAAAAACCAATAAAAACTAATATAGTTACATAGTAATGATCTTTTATGTTGTTGGAGGTACATAAACATATTTTGAACTCTGTTTTTGAGCTGAGGCATTATCATTGTTTATTTTTTTTTTTGTATTTTTAGTGTGATAAAAAATGTGATATTTTAAAAGACTTTAAGATTGTTATGATGTTAAACACACTTGATTACTATTTTGCTTTTGCTTTCTTTGGTCCATGACTGTCACTTGTTCTATCATGAAGTGCCTCTGGTGGTGTTGGAGGTGTATGACTATGAGTCCTAGAACCAAGACCTCTCTGATTGTTTGGAGTTCTCATGAATTTGTCAAGAGATTGCTGTGACCTTACAGCATTATCGTCATTTGTTTTCGTTCCACTTTTTTTAGAGCCCAATTTTCCTGTGTTATGCTTCTCTTTAGTTTTACTTTGTTTTTCTGTTACAGGTTCATCTTCATTGACCTCTGTGTGTTCATCATCTTTGCTGTTTTCGTTTAAAACTTGTTCTGTATTTGTCTCTTCATGTTTATCATTGACTTCTTGTTCCATGCCATTATGAGTCTGTAGTTCTGTTGGACAGTCTATCATTTTGTGTCCACTTATGTTACATATCCTACAAACCCAATCATTTGGACAATTGTACATTACATGACCTGGTTTGAGACATTTGTGACACTTTTTGACACCTTCGTAGCTCACTAAATTTGCTCTTCCCTGAAACTCGGGTTGACCTGAATGAAAAATTCTTGCTAAGTACTTCCCAATCTGAAGATTTCTTGGAATGGGTTTTTCAAGTAATTTACTGATCACTAACCTATCTCCTGTTTCACAATTTGTTACTTTTCCATCAATCCTGAGCCTTTCTCGAGAAAATGCCTGAATATTACACCCCTGTAAAGTTAAGGCACGATGAATCTGTCCATCATCCGCTGAGAGAGGAACGTTTTTCACTTTTATGCGTATCGTATCAGGTTGTAATAAGTTAGATGGATTATGAGGGTTTTGTGAATGCAAGGGGACCTGCCTGCCACGGAGGTTTATACCTTGCACTAACAGCGACAGTTTGTCTTCCTCATTATCCATGTAGATACGCCACATTTCTCTAATGCGTTGGATGCCTTTAATACATTCCGCGGGGACCTTTTCTCCGACAGCTTTATAAATTTCGACATTGGTTATCCACATAGACCGCTCCGGTTTCATAGAACCATGCACGTCACTATCTTTTAGAAATATGGGTTTTACAAAATTACTTGAAGTTGAAGCTGAAGTTGAGTTGGGTTGATTATCATTTGTATTGATGACGTTGTCATTGTTTTGTTCTGTGTTATTATTTTTTCCGGACAGTGCTTCACTATAGGACGCCATTTTTTCTTTGTTTTGATTTTGAGTTTTAAGTTCACTGCTATATTCTGCGTCTACACCATGTAGGCCCTCAATCAACCTCTTAATTCTATCATTTGTCATTTTTCTACACAATGCTTCTACATCATTAGCCATTTTCAGTTATGTTTACCTTTAATTAACGATTTTTCTGGAGAGCTATCTTAGTTAGTCTTAACATACCAAGGACGGCAACTCTCTCCTAAAGTTCTTATTAAACATGAGGAAATTTCAAAACCCTCCCCACAAAAAAGGGCATTCCCCAAGTCAAAATCAATGCACTTAAATATGTTGTTTAAAATATTTTTTCAGGTTTTGTCACAGAAAATGTAGAAGAAACAGTAACCAAACCAGTTAGTGAAGACATCACAGCCTACACAATACAAGACATTAAAACAAAATGTAACAACCAAACTGACTTTTTAAGCAACATGCCAAAGTATACTGAGAGTGAAATTCAAAAAGTAATGCGTTCTACAGTTGGTCAGTCCAGCAATGAAAAATGGCATGAAATAAGATCGGGTCGTCTGACATCATCGAATTTCTACGAAATACATACAAAAGTGCAGAGTTATAAGAAAAAAGAGGGTGTTACTTTTGATCCATTAATTTCACGACTCATGGGATACAAAAAGTTTAATCCTAACATAAGGTCTCTTAAGCATGGGCGAGAAATGGAACCAGAAGCCAAATCGTGTTACCTTGTGGGTATGAAGAAAGCAGGCCACACAGATGTTATTATCACAGAATGTGGAATATTTCTTGATAATGACATGACTTATCTTGGGGCTAGCCCTGATTTACTCGTTGATTGTGCTTGTTGTGACTCAGGTGTTGTTGAAATTAAATGTCCTCTTGTTCCAAAATGTGGCAAATGTACAACATTTTGCAGTTGTTCTATTCCAGACTATTTGTATGTTGATGGAACTAAGTACAGTTTAAAAAAAAAACACAAATATTATACCCAAATTCAAGGCCAGTTAGCAATAACTGGATGGAAATATTGTGACTTTTTTTATATATACATGTGATGGAACATTTTGTCAGAGAATTGTTTTTGACAAACCTTATTATGAGGAAATTGTTGATAGTTTAAAATTATTTTTTGAAAAATATTTTGTTCCTGAACTATTTTCTGGTGAACTTAAAATGCAAACTGCTTCAAATCTACAGGAGGTGTGTACCAGGAACAACAGCAGTCCTATAAAGGACCAAATGGAGTTTGAAACAACATATTTTTGTCCATCATGTAATCACATTGTGAAAAACTCTGAAAAGGTTGAAAATTTTATTGATCATAGTATTTGCTGTGATATTTGTGACTTGTGGTATCATTTCAGATGTGTAAATGTAACAAAAAAGGTAGCATCAAAGTTACAGCAGTGGGTTTGCAAAAAATGCACTCAAAGTAATTAAATATAATTTGTCATACAGAATGTACATGATGTACAAATAATTAAAACTTTAATTTTTAGAAGAATGCAGCTACTATATATGCATTATCAAATAATTTTACCTGAATATGTACCTGTAGAAAAGATTTAATTTTCATATATAAATTATGCTATACTTTATAAAAATAAGGAGATGTGGTATTGTTTAGCTCCAATAGATTGCAAATGAGACAACTTTCCACCAGAGTTCCAATGAAGTGAATATATTAGCAGTAATAGGCAACTGTGTGGCCTTCAATGATGAGTAAACCCCATACCCTTTAGTCAGTGGTAAAAGACAATGACATGAAAAATGTGAAACAAATGAAAACTAACAACAAAACCTTAATTGTGATTATTTTTCACAATTTTTGGATCACAATCAAAATTATGCCTCATACTTTGGAAGAGGGGGGTTCATGTTGCATATTCCTGCAATTGTTTTAAAAATACTATCCAAATGTTGCATGAGAGTAAGCGGCACTTCATACTTCAGTATTCTAAAGTATTTCATTCTTCTTATAGCTTGCTCAATGTGAATTCTACGATTAGCAATTTCTTTTGTTTGTTGAACTTCAGTTGTTGACATTTGTGTGACACACTACGACCTGGTGGAATAAACAGTTGTGCTCTTACCAAAGCTAATTCTTCCCTTATGGTGAACCCACGATCAGCTATTACACAGTCATATGGTTCAAGAATGTCTAAAAAACCAGAATTGTTAGTAATATATGTATCACTGCATCTACCACCAAAAACCCTCTGAAACATAATTAATTAAGCCAGAAGGATTTATGCTCACTAAGAATTTTGCTGTGTTATGATGTTTATAATCACTCCATGTCTGAGCTGCAACCTCTAAATTATTGGGTCTCTCTAAAAATACTTCGGTGCAGTCAATGATGTGACGGACATCAATGTATTTTGTTCCTTTGAAAGAAGGTGGTAAATTTGTTTTTACTGCCTCTTTTGATGGGTTAAACACCAAAGATCCTATTGTACTGGACAAAACTTTTATCCATGTTGTAAATATGTTTGAAGCATGGGTGGTAGAAATTCCAAATCGGTCAGCAAGATCTTCAAACAACAGACCTAACCTTAATTTCATAAGGGTCAATGCAAATTCAAATTTAAGTGATAATTTTCTGTTCGAATTTGATCTTGTATATTTTTTGTTTTTAAGTGGATTGCATGTCCTTTTTGGATCTTTCCAATGTCTCATTTGCCTCAATTTTTGTTCCAATTCAACAAAAAAGTCATTGAAAGTTTCAACATTTGGTATGCCTGTATAGAATTTGCATTTTTTGTCACTTTGTAATATAACATTTATGTCAAATGTTGTTTTGCGTTTAGTATTGACAGATCTTATGTAAGCAGATTTATACATATTGACTTCCTTTTGCAGTTTCTGTACCTGGTCCTTTAATAAAATTACTTCACGGTTACAGTCTGTGTCTTTTATATACATGTAGTCATGATCAGAAGTTATGTGTTTGTTCAAATCCTTAACTGAAAGGTCATTCTCAAGTTTTCGCTTTGTTTTCTTAGGAGGGGGACTGTCATGTCTTTCACGTGGAAGGGGCCTAATTTTTTTTACTTGTATTGGTGTGTAACCCAAGTCAAGTGTTAGTAACGGGTTACTAAGAGTTGGTTCACAATCTACAAAATGTTTGGAGCAAATTCGAGATTCACAATTAGGTTGCCAATTATTGTTTCCATGTTTTTGATTTACAATTGTTGTCCATTTTTTGCGACCAGCAGGATCTTTTCTCTCAGTGGGAAAAGGTATAAGTTGAAATGGAGGTGAACAGTCACATGATCCAGTTCCCTTGTTACATTTATGTATTTCACATTGTTCTTGCATTCATTTTTCTATTTTGTACCAACTGTTAGAGCAGGATATAACTGAACAACTTCTCCTTGAAACTTTATACATTTTCAATAATTTAACCAAACATTGTAAACAGATAGCCAACAAAGATTACTATACCCATTATTTCACTAGAAATCTGCAATTGAAATACCAGAATATGAATCAAAATACACTGTGAGTGTGTAGACCAAAGATGAAAAAATGCAACTCTGCATGTTGTTGGGTTACTGCTTTTTTATTTACATGCTTATGGCGTTGACCATGGTTTGAGTGTGGTTTGATCTTATGATTTAGTTGATTATATTCATCATGTTCATATTTATATATGATTATTTAAATTATTGTGTCAATTATTAAAATCTTTGTTATAA